CCTATAACATAATCTTCCTGTGCCAGAATAATGCACTTGAACGCATCAAAGCTTTGTGATTGACCGGCTAGACACCATGTGTCGGGGCGTGGCTGGTCGGGAGTGGGCACTATTTCGCTGACGTTGTCCGTGTCAACAGGAGTGACAGTCACACAAGACCGCAATTATGGCAGAAGCAAAAAATACCAAAATATATAATGTTCACTCTGAGTGGGAGGATGATTATTTTTGTATCTATTCCAATTCAAAGTCCATCTGTCTCATCTGCAATGCGAGCGTGGCTTTATCGAAGAAGGGTAATTTAGGAGCGGCATTTCAAAACAGTGCACAAACGCTACGAGACGGAATTCCCTCCTGATTCTGCCCTACGCTCCCAAAAGGGGAGGGGCCTGAAAGGACAGCTAAATGCACAGCAGTCCATTTTCTCCAGGCCCAACAACAAGAGCAAGGCTGCTACCATAGCATCTTATCGTGTCAGTCACGTTCTTGCGAAACACATGAAGTCTTTCAAAGATGGCGAAGTTGTGAAAGAAGCATTCCTGGAGGCTGCCGACGCGCTTTTTGGGGACAGTAAAAATAACAGTAGCATTTCAACAGGTTTTTGATATAATAAAAACTCAAGTTAGATACCGTTATTAATCAGCTGTAAGTTTTAGTTTGTTTGAACTTATTCATTATAATTATTGTACAAAATGGTATAAGAATGCAAACTTAAATTGAGTATAGTCTATTATCAATTCAGTTAAGAAACTAGTGTTGCTTGCATCCTATTTTAAAGGCATTTCTTTTTATACTCTACTAAAATGCAACAAAAAAGGGATTCTATTAATTGTGTCTTTTTTATTGCACTTTGGCAGCAGATTCCTGTGTAGCTTCAGATCTGAGTTGTCTTATTAGTAAGCCTCATTTATAATTTTGTAGCAACACTATTTTTATATAATGGCAAAGAAAGGGTTCAGTCTTTTCTTTTTTCCCTGTGTCATATGTGGCAGCACTGTTCAATGTTTCTTGAAAACATTACCCACTGTAGTGAGGTGTGAATAAACTCCAACTCTGTATCAACACTGTTGTGTAACTTCAGTAAAATACTTGTATGTGTGTAGATTAGAAAGAGGTAAGATAAAGGATCTGCAGTATTTTATGAAGTATTCATTGTACAAAGGTCAGTTTTATACAAGTAGAAGTGTGTATTTACCTGGTAGTAGGCTGTCAGTAATGGCTACGCCTCTCTATTTGGACTGGTAGATCTCGGCAGACTGGCAACTTTAAAAGTAGCTCTCGGTTCAAAAAAGGTTGGGCAACCCTGGGCTAGATGTTCGCCTAGGGCGCCAGACTTGGGGAGTCGCTGCGCTGGCAGCTCTGGGAGGGAAAAAAACATTTTGACCGTTGGGGCTCATCCTAATTTTCGGCCTTGATGTAACAATATTCATAATTAAGTAAATGTAACACCCTTTTCACCCCGGTTACACGTTTCATTTGCCCTGTACGATGGGCGCTGTAAGTGATGAAAATGGGGGATGTTGGCTTATCTGGCGCCCGCAGCTCACAGCCAAAATGCGAGGGAGAGAGGGAGGGTGCACCGGTACCAGCACTGTTGTTATTATAATCTAGTGCCGTGCTAGCTGCTCTAACGGATATAAGAAGAAGATGTTTCTACAATAATGTGGAGGGAGAGTCCTCTCCAGTCAGACTGAGAGGCTGATACTACAGCTCAGTGAGGTAAATGACTCTGAGTGTTTAGATAGTTCACTTTTGTCTAAGTTCAAACGGTTTGGTCACAATTTATGTAAACACATATTTCCAAGGCACTCCTTTATAATTATTGGGATAAACAGGTTTGAAATCATTCCAATGTATACTACAGGACAGTAACCAAAAATATCCTTTAAAACTGGAGATAAAAAAAAATGCATAAATAAATAAATGTTAAGGTAACACAACACAAATAAAATAAGTTACATTAATTTGTTATTGGCTATGGTAAGTTATTGGTTATGTTCACATACTTATTTGATTACATCCACTTGTCTAAGATGACAACAGAGACTTTCGACCCAAACCCAGCTGTTGACTTGTGGATGCAAGCAGCTACAGTAATCACAGACTCAACCAGAGAGAAAGAAGTAGGCCTACATCATCAGCTACCATGTCTGACAGTCAGGAGGGTAGTGATGACAGCTTGTAGGATTACTGGTCGTGCTAATGTTGTCTTGTGTTCACCTCTGCATGTGTGTTCAGTGCCGTGTGTCTGGCAAATAAAGACCCCCTCAAAAGTTACGGTTTATTTCATTTTAAGGATGAGCACCAAGCAACATCTCCAGGTGCTCCTTTGAGAACCAGGGCAAAAAAGTTATGTGCACCCCTGTTAATAAAGCACTGATTACATGTAGCAGCTCCACCAGGATCTGACAGTTAAAGGTTCTCAGGAGGCAGGCTGTTATCACAAATAAAGGAGTATCTGTGAGAAGTCGCTCCATCTACTACTATAAACTGATTATGTGAAGCTATAGGAGGAGGAGAGAGGGAACAGAGGAGCAGACAGGTGAAGAGGTAGGCAATGAACTGATCTGAGATAAGGAGGAGGGAAGTGAGTGGGAGTAACGTGTTTTCAATGCTAGGGAAAGTTTGTGTGTAAATGGGTCAATTATCATATACATCACCCATGGGACTTTCATGTCTCTAGCGCTCTCTGTTTCTGCATGTATGATCTGACACGCACATTAATCCACTCACCTTCCTATAGGAAACTGTCACTGTGCTACTGTATATTCAGTGTTGTCCCACTACAGATGCCCTCATGTGTCCTCGATGTGTCAAAGATGAGTAAAACATAGAAAGCAACTTTGTAAGACTGCGAGACAAATTGTGAAAGACTTTAAGTGTAAATCATTTTTCTGTGTGGGTGTGTTTCCCACGCCGCCGTATTATACACAGATCTTGATAAGTTCAAAGTGTCCGTATCTATTTGCTGCAGCGATGAGATTTCACAGAGCTCATCTAGCGTGCGTGCGTGCGTGCGTGCGTGCGTGCGTGCGTGCGTGCGTGCGTGCGTGCGTGCGTGCGTCATTCTGCTCAGACCGGCCTTAGAGAAAATGATGGCAGAGATAATTTGTTTTCAGGGATGAAGTACAACAATAAAAGGTCAAGAGCGAATATTGAGAGAGAGGGAGGGAGGAGCCGTGAGTGGAGGACAACTAAGCGGGCAGATAGTACCTCATTAACTAGTCTAATTGATTGATGATCGCGCACACAAGGGCAAAAATAGATCCCAATTTGACTTCCAATATGTGAATGCCTCTGGTTGTGCTTGTGTTTAATTGCCAGGCATGGAGAGGAGGGAGCAGGGTGAGAACAGAAGGTCTCTGTATTGTTTAATTTGTTTGTTTTAAGGACTATTTCGCTTTTATGAACTGGAAACATAAGCATGTGTCATGGGGATTGCGCAGCAGTTGTTTCCATTCCTCCTCGTTCAGGCTTTTAGCGTTGACAGTCCATGTTAATTCTAACTGTATGTGACATAACAGTCTTGTATGCTAACCAGAAACACTTATTTAATGGCAGCATGTCCAACAGGGTTCATCCTGGGTTCCTAATGGGGGCATACAGCAAGGTTTCTGGAACATACTTAATGGATATACATGTGATTTTTTTCTCTTGTGTATCTGCCAGATGCAGGTCATTGTCATGCCTTCATAGGCCACGATGCTACATCACTACGGTCAAGACTGAAATAACTATAAGATGGAGTTATGAGATTCTGTAGCAACATTCATGGTCTTCATTGGATAAACCCTACTGAGTTTGGTGACATGTTATCTAGCCCTTCTAAGAAATACACATTTCCATTTAAACTGTTAAATATCTTAATATTAACTGGATGGATTGGAACTATTTTTTTAAAATATATATTTATTGTCCCCAGGGGATGAACCATACCTGGTTTTCAAGAAATTTGATTTAGCCAGGAGTTTGACATTTCTATGTGGCAATTCAAATATGTCAAAAAACTGGATTGGCACTATTTTTTGGTGAGACATGTATGGTCAGGAATCCTATTACTTTTATGATACATGACATTTCCTTTTTGGGAAATCCTGAGGTTTACATTTGTGGTTTAGGGTAAAATATATTACAATGACGCATGAGATTAATCCTTATGACTTTGGAAAATCAATATCAAAGAAAACAGGCTGAAATGGGTACAAATATATATTTTTTGTTCTATTTTTTTTTATGCATGATGAGGAATTGTGTCATCTAAAAACAGAGTGACATGATGGAAAAGTCTGAAATAAATTGAGATTTGTGAGAATTGAAATAGTTGCCATCCTGGAACAGATCGCCTTCAGGTGGCGACTGTACAGTCCCTTGTTGTACACCAGGTGCTGCTTACTTTTTGTAGCCGATCATGACGATAAGTGTCAGTGTCAGCCGGAGAAAGACATTTTTACAAATCGGTGGGTGATGTGTTTAATAATCCGGCTTCAGGGCTTATTTTTCTGTATTAGTGAAGGCCCTGTCCACGTCATTAGTGGGAGTTATGAAGAGTGCTGGACTTGTTCACAGCACGACTTGAGAGGGAACTCAGTGTCAATAACATCCGTTTACCTGTGAAGGGGTGCTTGTTACAGTATGGTAGTGTTCATCTTGCCCGGCACTATGCAGGGTCTGAAGTCTGAGAGCCCATAAACTGGAGAAATAAAGGGTTTCTTGATATGTCCAGTTTTGCAAAGTCCAAGGCCATATCAATTCACTTTATTATAATTAAATAGAGAAAAATAACAACTTCTTTATTGTGATCTACTTATGTTGCAGCATCAATTTATATATCTATTTTCAGTTATAAATGCAGTCTTTATTATCCGTTTCTGCACAGTCTGGTAGCTTGATCTGATGTGGATTTCTCACACACCACAAAACTATTTCCCTTTGATTTCTGACTCTCTTTTTACCCCCACATTAATCTTCTTATCCATATTTTTCTCCCTCCTCCCCATCAGGAGACCCTCCGCTAGGTTTCCGCGACGTGTTGCTGCGTGACGGTCCGGAGGGATTCGCCAAGGCTGTCCGTGCCCACCAGGGTATGTTGCTAATGGATACCACCTTCAGGGATGCCCACCAGTCGCTCCTGGCAACAAGGGTTCGGACCCACGACCTGAAGAAGATCTCGCCGTTTGTCAGCCACAACTTCAACAACCTCTACAGCCTGGAGAACTGGGGAGGTGAGTCTCTGGGTCCTGACTATTGGGAATGTTTTCATCACCATAAAATAAAACCGGAAAATCATCAGCATCAAAATCAGAAATCCTGTATCAGTCCCACAGCGGGGGAAAGTACATCAGTCAGGTTGTGAATCAATGCAAAGAATTTGCTTTGGTGTGTATTGGTGCACACATAAACAAAATAACAGGAATTAAGTTGTAAAAATAATATCTAAGTCTTTTTAAAGCCATTTTAAAAACCAATATCTAATTTTAAAATGTATAAAATATAAATTTGACAAGAAATATAAATAAACATAAAAATAAGTAAACAAAGCTCAAATCAATTACTCAAGTAATATGCAGCATATCAGAATTTAAAGTATCAGAGCTAGAAATAGCAATTGAACAGAACTTAGCAAAATATACTGGAGAATGTGCCTTTACAGTATGGTCTGTAAGTTAGAAAATAAAGATGGAGAAAGGACACGCTTGGTTATCTTAGCATTGAGAGTGGGAGCAGAGTAAGGGTGCTAGCCTAGCTCTTCATTGGCTAATTAATCCTTCCAAAAACTGAAGTATAGAATATTATTGCACATCATGAGAGCTATTCCTCATATTCTATACTTCAGTTTTTGGAAGGATTAATTAGCCAATGAAGAGCTAGGCTAGCACCCTTACCCTGCTCCCACTCTCAATGCTAAGATAACTAAGCGTGTCCTTTCCCCATCTTTATTTTCTAACTTACAGACCATACTGTAGCCGTGTTCATTTTGGCAGCTATTTTTGATTTAGTGTTAGTCTTTAGACGAAAATGGTTATTAGTTTTAGTCACATTTTAGTAATTTCTATCCTTCATAGTTTTAGTCCAGTTTTAGTCGATGAAAACTGAAAACATTTTTGTCAACTTTTAGTCGATGAAAAATTACATTTTAGTCAACTTTTAGTCAAAATGTTTTCTCTTTTTAAACTAATTCAGTTAGGCAAATACAGGTAACTGAAATTGGAATCAATGTGACCACATCAAGTGTTGAAATTCGTAAAGCAACATTTCACTCTCAACACTTTACTTGTATAATATCTAGGGATGGGTATCGTTAAGGTTTGTTACGGTACTACTACTCTTATCGATACTGCTTATCGATCCGGTACTTTAACGGTATTCTTGTAGGTACTTGTTGTTATTTTTTAAAGGGAAAAACTAAACAAATTGTTAACCGAATTAACATTGCTTTATTTAAATGGGAAATAAATAAAATATATATAATTATGTTGTACTGTACTTGAGTAACATGTTGAGGTACTTGTACTTTACTGGAGTATTTAAATATTTTGCTACTTAGTACTTCTACTCCACTACAGTTCAGAGGTAAATGGTGTACTTTTCCTCCACTACATGTATTGAATACCTTGAGTTACTTTACAGATGTGGATGAATGATGTGAAATATAATCAAGTGTTAAATCAGACTTTAGTTCCACCTGGAGTAAATCCACCAGCTACCCTGCAGTATACAAAGTCATTCAAACTAGCTGCACCTTTACCAGCTTTGAGAACACTTTCATGATCAATCATTATAAAACATATCATATACATTATTCTGAAATGGACCAATCTACGACCAAACGACTACTTTTACTGTCGCTACTTTAACTATATTTTGATGATAATACTTTTACTTGAGGAACATTTTGAATGCAGGACTTTTACTGTAACAGAGTATTCCAACACTCTGGTATTTTTTTACTTAACTACAAGATCTTCTTTTTTTTTTGCAACCAAAGGAATCTGTTAATGCTGGTCATTAGAAAGAACACGGATATAAGACGCCTCTGCATTGACTTTATTTAAACCTCTTGGTACAGACATGAGTGGTATCATTTGGCACTCTAAAGAGCCATTACACCTGAGGAAATACCCACAATGTGTGATCTCATACAATCAGTCACGTAAGATTTGCATGTATTTCCTTCTTCAGATAGTTATCATGTTAATTCATCTCTTTGTGTATGCACTCCTGCATTTTAATGCATCTGAAGACATGCCTGCTCTCTCCATTCTCTCTCCACTCTCACCGTAGATCTTCTCGTGATTGTGCCCCTTTGTTTTTCTAATTTGAGCTGTGGAAATCATGCGCCGTTTAAATGATATCTCGTCCTCCCATCTTCACCGTCTCCAGCAAGTTCCCTCAATAGACAATGATTGTAGCCTCTTCATGGTCGTGAATGAATAGAGAAAATCATGCATTATTGAAACCTCTTGAGTCCAATAGTGTCCCTGGATAATATGCAATTACTGTGAAATTGGCCAGAGAACAAAAACTACTTGTCTTATGTTTGAACAGTCTGCAATTATCAACACTTCTTGATAGCTGTCCTGTGTGAAGAACAATTGTTGTGAACCAGTTTCAAATAATAAATTCCCGTTTGAACACTTAGGACACACACATTTGTGGAAGAGATATGCCCAGCGAACCTCTTGAGGTTGAAACATTTAATTTAATGCTCAATTATGGTAAACCACATGGAGTGATCGTGCTTAAATTACTTGGAGTGCTTTAGTCAGATCCCAAGAACAAACATGAGAACCAAACAACAAAAGCCTAGAGTAAAAAGGCTTTCCGTTTAAGTCGCTGTGCATTTGTTAGATGGTTGAGCAAAGTGAGGAGAAAATAAAAATGCGAGGAGAGAGACTGCCCAGTAAAACCTCAGCTCTGTAAACGCTTCTCTCAGATTGAATTCCTCCCAGTAGCCGGTCATGGTGCTCCAGTTAGAGGAAAACAATATATTCCATTACTGTGGGAGAGCAATTGGAGCATATTAAGCAACTGTCTACTCATCTCATGTTTGAACAGATTGAAAGTTATAGCGAAAGTAAAATATCCAGGAGATATTGTAGAAAAGGGCTCAAAGGCATCTCAGTATATCGTGATATTATTACGAGACTGACCAGGGGCGGATGGTATTAATTCAGCTTAGCCGTGTTTGAGCATTTAAAAGTAAATCTTTGAAGAGAGACTGTGATAACTGGCAGTGAACTCAGTTCACCACTCTGGAGGGAAATCGTTGAATAGGTGCCAGAACAGCTCCTTGTCTCATTATACCGTGAACCTGTTCTCAAAGTGCTTTGATTAAGGGACATAAATGCTTTTTTTAACATGTCATTAGCTTATATTTAAAGCATTAAACCTCTCGCCCACATTAAAATGTTGTTTACCATCATTAATAATCTCGCAGTGACACAACCTCACCTTACCTCTGAGGATCTTAGCACTCTCTGGGTTTAAACACAGTCAAATGGGGCTTTCAGGAGCTGTGGTAAATCTTATTTTTGGGAACGGGAAGCTCACAGACATGTCTATATGTTTTACTGATGAAAGAGCACAAGCTGAGCTCTCTATTAGGTTTTCTTGAATATTCATCTGGGGCCTCATCTGTGTGAGAAACAGGAAGCTGTGCAAAGCAGTCAATAAAAGCTGACAGAAAGCATGCTTTGGGAGCATTTTATGGCTGAGCATTCAATATGTTAATGTACTAGGAGCTTCCTGTTTTCACCACTGAGGCTTCACATGTTTTTTGAAAACCTTAACCATTTACCCATTGAAGTTGGGTAAGATTTCCAAAACTATGATTGGGGTTGTATTATTGTTGAAATGATGGTTATAAGATACATTTATTATGGGAAAACAGTGTCCTTTTCAACAATTTGCAGTAATTGAATATTATTTTCTTTACAACGTGTAATTATTTCTGAGCAGACGATGTGTTAAACATTCATCATTTGAGCATCTGCTGCAGTACAAGCTCAAAGCCATCACAGGAATAATCTGGCCTCTGAATTGAATCCAGTCATGATAAAACGTCAAGAGAAAGGTGAATACATCTTCCTTTGTGTCTTCCTTTTAAACTCTCATAAAGCGCCGCTGCTGCTTGAGTTGCAGTGGGAGATGACTTTTGAAATCTTCTGTGGATGAAAGCTCTTGAAGTTTAAACAGTGTTCTGTGTTCATGAAACATCCAGACAAATTGAATATGCTCGACTCTGCCAATTATAGCACCACAGCAATCATTGAAATGAAATGTAAAACAGAAACCTTTAAACACCCCCGACATAATGATTCTGTACCGGCTGATGTTATGAGCTGAGCAGCGTCACGTTGTCTCTTTCAGTTTAGAGAAGCTCCGCTGAATCACCCAAGAGGAATGTAATGTGCTCGTGGATCCTCTCGAGGCATCAGTAGTTCCTGCATGATATGATAATGAGTCAGAAAAATAGTTTCTCATTATTTAAACATTTTAAGGCTAAATAAATTATAGAGATCCTCTCTGAATCCTTGCTGTGACTCTACTATTTTACAGGGTAATAGCATGCTTTGTGATTCTAATAATATTTCGATGTTAGTTTGACTAGTTAAGTAGGAACAACACTTTTACAAATGAGTGATCATTTATAAAAAAGCAAAAAGAACAGGAATCACCTTTCCTCATGAGATTAACAGTGCATTTCAATTGGTTGTTTATGCCTTTCTTACACACACAAATAGTTTGTTCATACTCATCCCCTAAAACATATTTTTCAAGACCAAAATAGGAATTCGTTAGCTTAAGCTTTGTAGCAGAGCATGACCTATGCCCGTTCTGCAGTGGGGTTAAAGTCAAATCAAATATTTCACTATAATGCATTTTCAATAGAGAAGAATGACTTCCCAATTAGGGAAATGGGGAATCCGAGGAGCACATGAATGCACCATTAGCCTTGGCGCTCTGTGACTGCCAGTCTAGCTTCTCCTTGTTTCATGTGCTGCCTTCTGTCTCTTCTATCTTCCTCTTATTCTTCCCCCTCTGAAAGCCCAATCAAAGCCTCATCATTTGTTATTTCTCAGAGTTTATAAGGCTCCTCCAGAGTCACACAAGGCATGATAAGACTTGAGGAGGAGTCATGTTGTGTAAAAAGCTCCTCTGATAATAATTGAATGCTATAATCTTTGATGTCAGGGTAAATATCAGACCGTGTGTTTCCCATCCCCTCTGTTAATCATCCTTCTTTCGCTCGGCTTTCAATACCCAAAATTCCCAGGTTCACTAGTATCAGCCGTGCTCTCGCCTCATATTGATTTAGTTTGTGAAACACAAATTAGACCAGCACTGCAGTAAAGACTCCAGCTCCTGCATGCACTCTCCCACAAGGACAGCTTGTAATTGCACATCACTAAATGGCCATAAGAGGAATAACTACCAAGTATACAATTCACTTTTATTACAGAGAATATTATACTGCTTGAATCACTCAGAACCACGATAAATCACCGAAGGGAGATGACCTTGTGAGTAATGAACGCTGTGCACCTGACACACTGTCCCTATGCAAAATGGGAACATTGTATTGCTTTCACATGTTTCAGAGGCTGAATGAATCAAAAAGAGATTAAGTCCTGTGAAAGCCCTTTGAGGATTAAGACCCTTCCTCATATAGCGTTCCTCCAAACACCATCAAGATACAATTATATGAATTGGGTCACATAATGTATCTATATGGTTCTTCAAATGTATTTCCACAGTCGTAAAGCTGGAGAGTTTAAATGATTGTACATTTAGCCCGCAAGAATCCCCTGCATGTTTCGAGTCGAAGCAAGTTTATTAAAATACAGTAGCCCATTTCCACTCAAGGCAATTTGAACCAAATACTTTAAAAGATATAGTACATCAAAAATACAATACTAAAGTACATTTCAAAACAGTCATTTGAAAGCCAAGATAACACAAATAAAGCAGGGTCAAATAGAAAAAAACAAGTGAAAATACATGAATGGTAACTGAGCGCTGCTTCTCCATGTTTATTTTTGACTCTAGAGACCCTGATGGTTTAATGTAGCAGAAGATCAGATATGTATTTTGGAACAAACCATTCAGTGCTTCAAAACCTGTTGTACTATTTTGAGGTCAATCTTTAGGACAAGAAAGCCTCAAGTAAAGCCTTGAAAACTGGAGTGATGTGATCCATTTGATTTCGGTGCTTCCTTTTAAGGACTGGAGCTGTTTCCTCGGTGCAGGCAGCGTCTATGGTGCACACGCATTACAGCCTGACCAGCAGCGGCAGCAAATCAAAGCTCCAGAGTGATTAAGTGGGATCACGGAGACATAAACATTGATCTGACAGGATAAACTGTCTGATGCATCAGGGCCATAATTGCACACTTAAGCAAAAATGCTGATAACTGCAGAGGTGTGCGTGTGAGACTTCAGGCATTCATCTTTTTATATTCATCATAGGCTTTGCTTTATTGGCTCAAGAGCATGCTATAGAAGTTTATTTTATAAAACCTAATTTCCCACCAGGGGAAATTTGTATGGAGTAAAGAGTCAATATACTGTAAGGTGGTATTAGTACTGTATACCTTACACACATACAGAAGATGTTAGGCTCATATATTCCTACACCTTTTATGATTTAAACATTACTATATATGTTAGTGGTGATATGGTGGGCATTGCATACCAGACTTGTTATCATCTTTCTCCCTGATTTAATTTCATCTCTTCTTCATGACAGATTGTATGCTGCCTTTCTTTCAAAAAAGGACAGCAGTGCTCGGCTTAATGTTCTGCCAGATGCCACTCTTCATCCCTGTTATCAAATTATGAGTCTGCGGTCCCAGATGAATGCTTCAATCAGCGTCCTGTTTTGATACTTCACATTCTAAAATACGTTAATACTAATGTGTTTAACATCAGATTCATTTCAGCTCCTAGCTAGCTGTTTATGAGACGCTGAGGTCGGCTGAAATCCAAGTCAGGGGGAGTATAACAAAAAAAAAAAATGTGATAAGGAGGGTTTCCAGGGGTTCCTGCTCCTCCAGAATCGGGAACATACAGTTGTGCTTAATATTCTGTCCAAATGTACGAGTGCTCTGAAAATGAAATGTAATGATGACAGTGTTAGATCAGCAGAAAACCACTAGAGGCTTCAATATTTCTGGCTGATATGATAAACGGGTATGAGATTTACTAATCTACTCCCCCAAGAAAGGGAAATGAGAGATTGCTATCTCTTTTTTTCGCCTCGCCCTCTGAAACATTTCTTCGATTCTAAAGTGACTTCAGAGTGAAATGATGAAAGTGTTAGGATGAACAATGAATGTGCGTGCATCATCAGATATTTAATTCCAGCCTCTGTTATATTTGTGAAATATGAGTTTTTGAGTCTTAAGTTTGGATCAAAGTTGGGATGAGACTATATATACTATAGGTATACTAAATAAAGTGCAATCCCTCTCTCTCTCTGTGTGTGTGTCTCTGTGTGTGTGTGTGTGTGTGTGTGTGTGTGTGTGTGTGTGTGTGTGTGTGTGTGTGTGGTGTGTGTGTGTGTGTGTGTGTGTGTGTGTGTGTGTGTGTGTGTGTGTGTGTGTGTGTGTGTGTGTGTGTGTGTGTGTGTGTGTGGTGTGTGTGTGTGTGTGTGTGTGTGTGGGTGTGTGTGTGTGTGTGTGTGTGTGTGTGTGTGTGTGTGTGTGTGTGTGTTGTGTTGTGTGTAGGTGCCACATTTGACGTGGCCATGCGTTTCCTGTCAGAGTGCCCGTGGAAGAGGCTCCAGGAGCTCAGAGCTCTGATCCAAACGTCCCCTTCCAGATGCTGCTGAGAGGAGCCAACGCTGTGGGCTACACCAACTACCCCGACAACGCTGTCTTTAAGTGAGTCACACACACACTGAGGCCCAATTCCAAACAGACTGTGTGGCGGAGTGTGTATTCTCACTCTCAGCTGAATGAGGCTCCGTTAATGTGTAAGGTGTGAATGCAGCGGCAAACTTCCGGATGAACTTTCCTCTCACCGGCAAAAACAGGAAGTGTCGTGACTTCCTGTAACCATGGTATAGAATGAGCTTCTCAAGGCAAACAATTATAAATATTATTATTATTATTATTTTAAAACTTCCTGTTGGAGGTTTGATAACTTCCTGTTGGAGATTTGATAACTTCCTGTTGGAGATTTGATAACTTCCTGTTGGAGATTTGATAACTTCCTGTTGGAGGTTTGATAACTTCCTGTTGGAGATTTGATAACTTCCTGTTGAAGAGTTAAATAACTAGAATACCCCACTAGTTTGTTTGGAACGGCCCTTAATGTGGCGTACCTTCAACACAAACGGAGTGGAAGTGGAGAGGGGAAGGGTTTGTAAGTTTGGGATTGGGACACAGACTATACCCAACATTAAGAACAAATCATTTGTTTATTCAACACTCGTGACATTAAGAGTCTTATTTGCAAGAATTATTTTGCATTTGCTTCAAAAATCAATGTTCTATGTCCACTAATGCTAGAGAAATTAACACACAGAGCACTGTTGTACATTTCGGTGGATACACACTAAGCTTAACATACATTTTTTAATAAATGCACTGAATAATATAATTGTAAGTGGTTTGTTCAGTATTTGGAACACAGTCGAGATGAAAGCAGATCCTTCATATCTCTAGAGCAACTTTGTCATTTTCCTATTTAACTCTTTTTAATGTTTTGAAAACATTTGTATTGAATTGTCAGAAAGATTGTCTGGAAACCAGCTGCTCTCCCCCTGCGTTATTGTCTGTCACTGTCATATTATTTATCGACTTCATACATATTTCATTTTGTTTGTGAAAAGAAAATTGAAAGTGAAAATAATTGCCATCTGGGAATAATTACACGAACAATTCATCAAAACAATAGAAAAACAATTACCCTAACAGAACACCGTAATTAACAATACACCAACAATCCAAACGCGTAAGATTAGCTACACACCGTCTGCTCACAAGAACAAAGTAATACAAATAAAGCAAGTGGTAAAAATTTAAATATAACATAAAAATATACCAGAAGAAACATGCAATACAAATATGTTTGTTAATTAAGGAAAAACTGTTATCTGAAGGTAATATGTGATTTGAGCCAGGAGAAGCCTGCTGGCTATAATAGACTTTCCTTCATACAGGTTTCCTCTCGTATATAAATGTGTGGGTATGGATTTAACGTCAATATCATGATTACATGATTGTATTGGCTGTTGGTGGCTAGAGGGTGATGTAAGCACTTAGGAGATGGACACATGTGGTGCAGGATGCTTCAATCAATCAATGATCCAATTGTCACCTTGTAAATAAAACACCTTTCTATTTCCTTTCAAGTCATTTAATCTATACTGAAAACATTTCTCTCTATAAAATTAAAGGGACACCGCTGCTTTGTTGTTAAATATGAAAATAATCTGTACAATAGCTAGCCACTAACACACACATTAATCAGGTGAACCTGGTGGATGTTTGGCTGTTTCCTCCTCTCATGCGCAGTTACTTCCACACACCACTGATGCAGATGTCTACAAGTAATGTCTTTAGAGCCATAAACACTTCCTGTGCCTACACACATGCACACACACGCCTCTAACACTTTTCCAAATGGATTCACTAGCTACCTCCATGATGTGGATGACTCATATAGACACACACACACACCCCTGCATGCAGCTCCACACAGACACACACACAGCCATGCATGCAAGGTGCAATTCCCCTCACCTGAATTAGGAGTGGCTTTATGACTAATGCAGCTGTCCCCTCCCCACTCCTTCACATTGAAACACACACACACACTTTGTATTCTCCCCGTCTCCTATCACATTATTTATCCCCACTGTTATAAGTTCCTTTTTATGCCTCCATTCGTCTCTCTGTATAACACACTTCTTTCCCTCTTTTAACTCCCTCTCTGTACCCCGACTGCTCTTCATCTCTCTCTCTCCCCCCCCCTCACTCTCTGTGTCCCGTAGGGGCAGTGCCATGGAAAATGTGCACATGATTGTGATTAATGGTTTTGATCTGTTGGCCCGACTCTCTCTCCACCTCCTCTATTTTATCTGTGGCTTTCTCACCCGCGACGCTCGCAGCGGCCCGCGGCCAAGTAGCCCGAGTCAGTGTCTTCATTAACTAAATCAAGTTAACGTGTAATTTCATTTCATATAATTGATTTAAAGTGCATGACACAGGGTTACAGTACACTCCGCAGCAAGAAGAACGCACATTTCTTTGAACATCCAAAATTGATCACCAACTAGATATTATTTTTAGAAAATATCAACTAGCTAATACACTGAGGTGGTATGAGTACTCTTATATTTAGTTCATTACAAGCGCTCCTCTTAAATGGTAGCTATTCATACTTATAGGTAGTTAGAGAAATATACAGAATTACATTTTGTATCATGAATTGGAATCTTCAAAGTAATTACAAGTTACAAATAAATGAGTTAAAACTATAGTAATTGCCTTTGAGAGCTACTGGAGTAGAAGTTTAAAGTAGTAGGAAATGAAAGCATTGACGTACAAGTACCTGAAAGTTGTATTTAAGTACCACACAACAGTAAATTACCTTAGATACTGCTGCTACACATGATTCACATAATGATTTTGTCAGCGCTGAGTCAGAGATTCTGGACAATGTTTTGGTGCCGAACACTAGGCAGCGCTTGTATGGATTGTAGTGCTGAATAAATAAATACTGGACACTGGTAATCCTCTCGTGGCATAACATTAAGTGTCTGTGTTTATTTGCCAAAACAAAAGCTCTCAGCGTGTGTAAATGTTGTATTCACACTAACACAGCTAAAACAGGCGCACATCCCAGTTTTGAAACCTGATTAGGACACGGAGGCCGAGGCAATAATAGGAGAGATTTAGCTCTCGCTGCTTGGATAATGAGGCGGTATACATTTCTCTGCAGACTTTGTGGGCTCCTGCAGGCTGTATGAGCATGGAAATAGTGTGAATATTGTATTAACGCAGGTACAGATATGGAGATTGATATAAACGGCTTATTTCAAACCCGGATGTGTGCTATCATCTGGGATATAAAGACAAACTCATGTGCAGCGTTCAGTAAGATTATGTATGTCTTATTTGAATGTAGATTAAATGAATTCAACCCCCTCCTTCAGGTTCTGCGAGGTGGCGAAAGAGAACGGCATGGACATTTTCCGCGTGTTCGATTCCCTGAACTACCTGCCCAACATGCTGCTGGGCATGGAGGCTGCTGGAGCGGCGGGGGGGGGTGGTGGAGGCCGCCATCTCCTACACGGGCGATGTCTCGGACCCCATGAGGCAGAAGTACTCTCTGGACTACTACATGCAGCTGGCCGATGAGCTGGTGAAAGCAGGAACTCACATCCTCTGTATCAAGGTGAGGAAATAACTCAAGACGCAGTGTTTTAAGTGTCTGGCTATAATAAGCCAACATTGTTTTCCCTGTGATAAGGAAAACTGGCACTTATTCTTTGCTTCTGTATGAATCCCTTCCCATCTGCCACCAGAATAACGAAAGAATATACGCAGTCTTTTACTCATATATGGAGATATGATTATAATCAGGGACTGACCTGCAGTGTTTTTTGGCCTGGTCATGCTTTAGGTAAGGCATCATTAAAAAATTCTTATTTTAATGATGTTGGCAAGCTTTAGGTGTGACTGCTGCAATTATCACTTTTATTTCTGTTACATTGTTGGTGCTACATCTACTGTAACACCAACATTATAGCAGATCTTCAGCAAAATACAAAATGTATGGAATACAATCTTGGTTTTCTAATAACCAGTTTCGCCAATATATCATGATGATTTTACAGATTTACACAAAACTCATACATGCTTTTTAATTAGCATTAAAACCTCATATGTCGAACACAGCAGATTTATTTCTCTTGCTCCAATTGAAATGACTTGTAAATGTGATCCTCTCTATCTAAATTAATATACTGATAATACTCGCATTGAATTAATTACTTTGTTGAAGCATGACAGAATATTTTCAAACGTTAATATAATAAACCCCCGCCCCTATGGTGCGATCAATCTCACGCAGCGGCGGCAGTCTCATAAAAGCATTGCACGGCTAATGAGGTTAACTTTTAAAAGGGGAAATGAGCATGAAATAAAACTGAGTGCAATGATCACCAAAGGGAGCGTCATCTAACCTCTGTGTGGAATTCTGTTTGTATCAATTTAGATTTAAATATTAAATCATCATCAACTTTGTTTGTTTGTTTTGTTTTGTTTGTTTGTTTGTTAAAAAATAATACTTTTGTCATTATTTTGTTCTAAATGATCCTTTTCCAGAATATATTGAGTAGTTGTTTTTTGAAGGCATTGAATATATTTTCAGATAGAGTATTGGAATTTCTCCAGGTCTAAATGGCTTCAATTAAACCTCATGGTGGCTGATTTAATTCAGATTTGTATCCGAAGACACAATGCTTATTTGGAGAGTTTCACTATGTGGTAGTCTTTTCCAAGTCCTAATCACTAAAAGGATGTCGGTGTTTGTGAACGTTCTTTCTGCTTCAATCAATCAATCAATCAATCAATCAATCAATCAATCAATCAATTAATCAATCAATCAGCGCTCTGTGGGGCACAGCCCCACCTAGTGTCAGCAGAAAATGATACAAATAATAATTCAAAAAAATGCAAAGAAAATATGTTAAAATATATTTTAAGATCATGTTTAGTCATCCGATGTGTCTGTACATTGCTGTTTTAATCTGCGTTCTTCCAATTAGTGTCCACAGTGTGCCTATTGAGCCGTGTTGAGTGATGTGGGGCAAGCCCCTCTCTCTGCTGTCTAAATGAATGGGTGCTGTAAAAACTATGATGCGGATGCTCAGAGTATTTTTCTATTGTGTTCGGCAAAACAATTATCACCAGTGGGGCATAGTGCTGGCATACCTACCAAACGTCATCTCATAATTCAGAGAGCTGATTGGCTGTAAGTACATGTTCCGCGAAAAGTGTAGTTTTCACCCTGTAGTGAAGAGGAGACGAGAGAGAGCAGTATATAGCGATTAAAATCAGTAAAACTGAAAGAAAATGAATGAAGTTGACCATTTACTTCAGCTTTGGTATCTTCATTTGATGTCATATATTTTGTGACCTCGTGATGAGTGTCTGTGTTTTCCTTATAGCCCCTCCCCCCTCTCTATCGGAACCATGGATGGCCTTCAGCTATTTGTTTACGTGTTTAAAAAAGCACCAGAAGCTTATATAACACGTAAACAAATAGCTGTAGGCCATCCATGGTTCCAATAGAGAGGGGGGAGGGGCTATAAGGAATACACAGACACTCATCACGAGGTCACAAAATATATGACATCAAATGAAGGGCTGTCAAGTTAACGCGTTAATAAAAAAAATTAACGCCACTAATTATTTTAACGCGATTAATGCATGTGTATTTTTTGTCCTCGGCCACCCCGTAGTTTCAGAGCGCATCGAGTTTAAAATATCATCTACAAGCTGATGCTGACAGCCCCGCTCCTGCCGCCCGCTTGTGGCAGACCACACTTCCACGCTCACCGGCAGGCACCGACTGGCTATTGGGAGGACCGGGAGGGTGTGTGTATGTGTGGCCCGAGCGAGAGAGAGACCTTAGGTGCATTGTTGTTGTTAGCATCTGGTGCTAGCTACCTGCGCTAACGGATATAAGGAGCTGTTTAAATGAAAACAGAGGAGCGACATTTCGCCACAACTGCGCCGAGCACTTGACTTTATGCAGGAAGCCAGACAGTGGGACATTGTACGAAAAGTCAGCACACTCAGCACGGATAGTGCGCAACATGATTGCAGCGTCCAGGCAGCTCCCGTTCGAGCATATGCCTTGAGTTGCACATAGCTCCAACACACACACACACAAACACACACACACACACACACACACACACACACACACACACACACACACACACACACACACACACACACACACACACACACACACATACACACACATACACACACACACACACACACACACACACACACACCACACACACACACACATACACCATTTGTATTGTATTATTGTATGAGAGAGGTTCCAGGTTGAATTGAGGCGAATATTTGTAATGTTCAGAGGTTGTTGTGTTTAATATTCATGAGAATATTTGTCATTGTTCAAATGATAATAAACATTAGCATAAAGCATATTTGTCCACTCATATGTTGATAAGAGTATTAAAAACTTGAAAAATATTCCTCCAAGGTACATTTAGAACAGATAAAAAATGTGCGATTAATTGGCGATTAATCGCGATTAACTATGGACAATCATGCGATTAATCGCGATTAAATATTTTAATCGACTGACAGCCCTAATATATACACACATCTAAGTTGTTCTTGCCCCACCACTTTTGTACATAAAAACGCCTCTGCATATCCAAAACTTAGATTTGTTGCAGAAAGCATCTTAAAACAGTATTAAGGCATCTGTATAAAACTCTGCACCTGTGTTAATTTTACTGCTCAGGATTCCAGGACAAATCTGAAATAAAAAATGGTGTTTAATATTGTGTGAACTTATTGCAATCAAATATGTTTTATAGGAATTGTTTCCATTTTCCTCCTTACTTAATGTTCCTTTCCCCTCCTTTTCTCTTTTTGTTTCCAGGATATGGCCGGCCTCCTGAAGCCACAGTCCAGCAAGCTTCTGATTGGCTCTCTGAGAGACCGCTTCCCCGACCTGCCCATCCACGTGCACACTCACGACACCGCGGGGGCCGGAGTTGCCGCCATGCTGGCCTGTGCCGAGGCTGGAGCTGACGTAGTGGACGTAGCTGTGAGTAGTCATCGTGTCTGTTCAAATACTCTAATATATGCTAGCCTCTAATTATTCAGAATAGTCAATGCAGTTTGCAAATATGAATTGTCACTAAAACAAAGAGGGAAATATTGTTGAAACAAGGAACATTTCTCTTACTGTGTTCACTGACGCATGCAGCCAGCTTTGGGAGTTTCATTAAAACAATTGGCTGCTATTTGCACTTCTGGACCATTCTACTGTTTATTTCCTATTTACTCTTTATAAAAGAAACAGACAGTCCACTTTGGAGCAAACACTAAAGAACATGTGTTTGTATTGATCCCATTGCTTTACTTGGTTAATTTTGTTTCTTACACCACCGCTGCTTGACTTTACCACCATGTCCTATTATTATTTAGCTACTTGTTAGCAACCACCTTTTAAAACGTTTAAAAATTCATGACTGGGTAAATGTAATGATATTTTATTTTATATAACAAAACATGAAAATCTCTCAAGCTTGCACAGCACATTTTAGACCTTATTTTAGACATCTTACCTTGAACCTGTTGAAATCCAGACGAAGGAACTAGATGTCCAACAGATTTCATATTGAGTGTCTCTGTAGGTGGACTCTATGGCCGGGATGACCTCTCAACCCAGCATGGGGGCCATGGTGGCCTGCGCCAAGGGAACCAAGCTCGACACCGGTAAGAGAAATGCTCACCATCCTGTCAGCAATGACCATAGACTGTTGTTGTATTAAACATATATCAAGATCTTGGGCAATGGAACACCACTCAATGTATGTATTATTGTCATCAGATTGGAATTTGTTGAAATAAACACCTTCAAATACCGATATGGTGCTTTTTATAGCAGTATCTAGTCGTTGATAAGACAACTCTTAGGGCGTTCCTGCTTTACACAAGGGAGAAGACATCAGTCAACAAATCAATAAATGACAGACCACATCACTGATTATGGCCAGAAAAACTGATGTGTTCTGCTCAGTGATGAAGTAAACAGCCAATTATTAGAGAGGGAAATGGAAACGGACCAAAGAAAATATGCCAATAAAATCTACCGAATTATCAGCACATCTATTGGCTGCTTTTAAAATGTTGGTTGGAGCCATGAATTATGCAGCATTATAATCATCAAAGCGTGATAAAATCTGAATTCTGCGACCCAACACAGCCACAGTTCCCCTCTCTCTGTGGAGCATTTAGAGGTTAAAGGTTTTCCCAAGGCGTCCTTTAAATGGCTGTTGGATCAGATCTTTCAGTCACACTCTGGTTTACTCTATCTTCTCAGGAGGTCAACAGATAAGTGGAGGGTTGGCTTTCTAATGTGTTCATTCCCCTTTGGGTGTGCTGTTGTCCAGTGTGTTCTGCTCAATGTAATTTTCATGGGCTTTGACAAATCTGGAGTCTCTCCCACCTCTGAGAGCTGCCCAGGCTCAGTGACCTCTGCACAGTGTGAAATCAAATCTACCCAGCCAGAAAGAAAAAAAGAGAATTAAAGGAACATGAAATAAGGCTAAAGGAATTAAAACTGATGTGAGGTTTGCTGCTTAATTATGTAGAGGAATGCTACTGGGAACACGGACTCAGCTCTCCTAACTAGATGTGATAGCTCATTTCCATTACTCAGAAATAGCAAAAGCGCAGCTAATTCTGTTTACACTGCATTCACAGGACACAGCTAATGGACTGTACGCTCCACTGCTGTTTGCCAAGTCCTTCATGTGTTCTGCTGTGAGGACGTAGGTGCACACAGTCTCCTGCCTCTGGGCATCAGGCAAATGTTTACTTCCATCAGCGCCATTTTTGATTACCATGTGGTCTTAAGAGAACAACCTCACTAATACCTATCAATGACTGCTTGTGTCCCATGGTACAGGATTAGCCATGATGCTAATGCTTTTTATCCTATTTCTCGCCTTGTACATGTTTATTGAGGCATCCCCATAGAAGCCATGTTACAGAGTCTTCAATGGTTTATGTAAAACATTTAAAAATAGATGTACCACTGTGGTAGAATAGAGCATTATCTTTTTGTTCTGTGTTAGCAAGCTTTGAATGTTTCACCTTGAAAATGATTTGAGTATCTTTAAGATAATTCCATCTGAAAGCCAATGATTATATGTTAAAAGGATTATACAATGGAAAACAGGATTGTATTTATTAAGGCAATGCTCTTTGTACTTCTTCCTGTAATTACCTGCAAGTTGTGAGCACCTAATTTCCAAACATGATCTTAACTTAATGTGTGTGATGCAGCCACAGTAGGTGTATAGCAGCAGCACACATCCTGCTGTTGTTAGTCTCTCAGGGCACATTTCAAGAGAATGGCTTTCTTTGCTAGGCTCATTGTTTAATATAACTGTAGAAACAAGCACACAGGGAGGAAACTGTCGTAGAAGATGAGGCTAATTATGTAATAGTCCATGAAGCAGCACAGCGACAGAGCCATTACGGCATGCTGTGTTCAGAATGCGATGCGTGACTTGTGTTCTGAAAGTGAACTCTCTCTGTTGACATATTTGAGGCTGCAACAGGTCCACGTCCGCTCTCATATCGTTCAGGGCAGTGTAGGAAGCATCAGGGACAGAAAGTCTCCCATCAGTCAGACACAGTCCACGTTAGTGACAGAATATCAATGTGTGAGCTTACAGTTCCCTGAAAAAAGAGCGAGAGAAGGACAAGGTCGTTACTCAAGAGCGAGAGGATTTCAAGTGTCAGTTTATTCCAGGCATTTTAATTTGCCTCACTTGAGACCGAGACTGGGATGCAGGATGTCTCCCACAAACTCACTCTCACACATGTGTGCATACTTATAGTGCATCCTGATGGGGCCCTGCATTATGCATACACATGCGGAGAAACTTCCAAATACTTTTCTACCTGTCACCTTCTATTCATCTCTGCCTCTCTTTATGCGCCTCATCTCCTTTTGACTATCTCTCTCCTTTTATAATCAGACACAGTACTGTCTTGAATACTTCCAAACCTCGCTGACCCCTCAATGTTTACTGCTTTCCCTCTCTTTCTCCCATCTCTGTTACAAAGCAGTCTCTCATGTCTTTTCTCACCACCCTCCATTCTTCCACATTGTCTCTTCATCCTCCTCCTCTTCCCGTCCTCTCACTCAGAGACAAAGTAATTAAGAGCATTTTACATCCATATTTCACTCCGTCACAATTTGCTCTCCCCCTCACTGTCTCACACAGTGTCTCTTCGTCAAAGCACAAGCAGCGCTTCTCTGGTTAATTCATTTGTCTCTCAGCTGTCACTTTATTTATTCATTCAGCCACAGTGTTTGTGTGTGTGGATTTAGAAGCCATGCATATTCACAAACACTCACGCTGAATGATGACACACATTAAAGTGGCCCTTGTGTTTGCTTGACACAGCGTTTACTGCCTCTCCTCATGAATCATGCATGGCTTTAATTGATGAGGAATTCTTAGCTGCTAAAACAATGCAGCCGTCGAAGATGTAGCGGTCATCAAACACACAGAAGAATGTACTGAGATATTAGTGTATGTAGGCTCTCAACCACACAGACAAGGTTAGCCAACATGTTGACCTTCTTCCTCACCTCCCTCCTCTTCCTTTCTTCATCCGTCTGCGTTCAATTTCCCCCTCTTTTGTCCCTGAGTCTTCTCATGCTCATCCGTCTTCATCTCTGCGTCTTAGTTAGCTCTCATTGTCTCATCAACCACAAACCGTGTGTGGCTATCTCCCTACAACTGTGTGTATCTGAACACAACTGTGTGTGTCTCTGTTTGTCGGCTGCATTAGTGAGCTTGTGCTGCTAATGAGTTGTATATTGATAACACTTTGTCACTGCCGAGCAGCCGTTTAAATGACGGATATATGTGTGTGTGTGCATGTCTATGGTATACACATAGCACAATGTTGTCTGTATTTACCCTCCAGTGGGATTTAGAAAGCGTCAGAATCCATTTGCAGCTGCTTTAAAGGATGCAGGGTAAAATAAACGTTTTAATCCCCGGAGGCAAGATAGGTCGTCGCAAAAGCAAAAATCAGCTAGATAAAAGACATTATTGTTATTCTCGCTTCATCACGGCCAACCTTCCTGAATAATGCTCCTTCAATTCAGCTTAACTTAATATGCTTTGATATAACTTTCCAGCTCATACAGGTGTGGTGTTTTACTGCTTAGACTTTTACTCAGGAACTGAAGACTTGTGAAAATAATTACTTAGACACTTTTAATTTCGGATAAATAGAACAATCTAGGCTAACGAGTGGGACAGCTATAAGCGGTTGACCAATCTCAACAGCAGTGGCGAAACCTTGTCTATCACAACTGGACCTTCTGTAGACACACACACACCCCCTGAAAAGAGGTTTTGCAGCACAGGCAGTATGAGAAAATGAAGGACCCTTTTGAACATTAAAGCATGAGAACATGTCACAGTAGAGGTACATAATACTATTATGAACTTGAAAATGTACATAATATTTCCTCTTTAGGTACAAGCAAACAGTGTCACACTCAAAGATTGTGTGGTAAGGGGAGCAGTATTTAATAGTTTAAGTTGCTATTCTTAAGTATTTTAAGGTGGAGAACAAGGTGCTGTATCGTAGAGAGGCGGCCTGACCTGACCTTTTAACATGCCGTCACTTCCACTTGTAATCAAGGCTGTAATTTCAAATGGAAGCGTAAATGAACGCTCCAAAGTGTTCTCAAACAGAGAAGGAAATGGAGCTATTACTGAGCGGCTTGGCAGGCAGCGGATTTTGAGGAGAACCAACATGCACATTAGCCTCAGTGGCTCCAATTGTCCACAAAGATCACAGTGGAATCACACAAACACTTTCTGGAGTAAGTGCTCGCTTTGAATCATGACAATTCAAGCTTGTCACTCTGTTGTAAGCAAGATTAGTTTGTCTCTTTAGCATGGAGGACGCTCACTGCAAAGACATTTCTGTCATGGCATTCAAACAGATTTTCCCATTTAAGGTAATCAGCTTTAGAGAGAACACCTTACCTGGCTGCAGCAGAATGTCATGAATACTAGCAACAGATGGTTCTTTTATGGATAACAAAATATCACTGGGATTTAATGAGCAGCAAAGGCAGGATGTAAACGAGCACTAATGGATTAATAGTTTTGCTAAACCAACACTGTAGCTAAGGACCGTTCAAGCTTTTCTGGCCTGTAACCTTTGTGTAAGTCCCACATCTTTACTGGCATAATACCATTTTGAAGAGTTGTCAAAAAAAAGTGATTGTTTGGAAGATTGTCTCTGCTGCCATTTTGGTTTCACCTTTTTGAAACTTGACACACTGTGACACGTTTCACTTCATGTTTATATCTTTATCAGAACCAACAGCATAAACCCAAGACAATTGTACTTTGGCAAAATAAGAAATACAGCATATGAGTATTATCCCCATAAATATATCACTATATTCCAAGGTTTTGATTTTTATTCGGTAAACACAAAAACATGATCACAATGCATTTGTAGTTTGCATGTAGTTGCCCCTTGCTTTCTTGTAGTCTTTGGACAAATTGCATCTCAGTTTAAAAGGACAGTAGTTCAGAAAATGAACATGGCGGCCATTGATTTGATGTCATTCTGTGCTGCAGGCATCGCTCTGGAGAAGGTGTTCGACTACAGCGAGTATTGGGAAGTAGCGAGAGGCCTGTATGCTCCATTCGACTGCACGGCCACCATGAAGTCTGGAAACGCTGACGTGTACGAGAACGAGATCCCCGGAGGACAGTACACCAACCTGCACTTCCAGGTACACCCAGCTATTCTGGTCCTTTTTATTCTGTTTGTGTAAGTGATTTGAAGCTAAACAATCTCCAAGCTGGATTCCACAAAGCTACATGTTTAGCTCTTTCATGGATGGATGGATGTTAACACGGATTAGTGCAGTATGACATTACATTTTGGTTCATTGTTGTCCGGTGCAACTTCCCCTTAATGCTTATTTGACTGTCTTATTTCAGAAAGCGGTCTTAAAACAATATTGAAGAGAAAAATAAACGTGTTTTCTCCTACATTCGATACAAATATGCATTGTTTTGTTTGGTTCAAAGGTACTCTAGATGCAATAACTGAAAGCAAGGAGGTGCATTCATCAGTGGCACTGTTTTTAGAAACTCCCACAAATGTTGCTCGAACAACTAATTTAGTTGAAGGTACATGAAGTACAAACAGGCTGTCTCCTCTGTGCTCACTCACAGTCTGAGATGTCTCACAGTGACTGAATCCACAGCTCTGTGCAGCTGCTTAAATAAAACGGTGTGCTCATCCTGTACACTAGTGTGACTCATTTATATCAATAGTATTGAACAAATACTCCATGTACCAAATTACAGTTTACAGGGGCTTACCGCACCGGCCCATCTGGCCTTTGCTACACGAGCGTCCTCTCCATCCATTTAAAAGCTGTAGGTGTCACTTCACAAATTACAGCTTTGAATCAATGACTGAATGAGCCTTGATATCTTTCCTCTAACGTAGCATTAAAAAGATTATTTTTCTCCACTCATTCCTTCTGTTATTCACTGTGGCTCTTTGCAGGCTCACAGCATGGGACTAGGAAATAAGTTCAAGGAGGTGAAGAAGGCCTACACCGAAGCCAACAAACTCCTGGGAGACCTCATTAAGGTGAGACATGAAGAGAGTATCCATGTCTTACTGCATGAGATCACACTGGTGCGCTTAACCAATCTGTGCTGCACACACACTGCAGCACCGAGATGTTTCTGGCATGTGTTTTATGTTTCATGTTTCTTCATTAGCATTTCTTCACTGACTCAATCCCAGATTAAGGTTTATTTTCTGTGCAGCCTGACAGTCTGTTTGACCTTCCTCTGAGACTGCCGTCTTTTCTCTCTCACTCTACACACCTTTTTATAGTGTTGCCCTCTCCTCACACATGTTCACTCTAAGCTGGCACCTATTTAGTGCTGGATTTCTTCTTCATTTACCTTAGCAGGGTATTTGTATTCAGCACTGATACTGAGTGTGGTTCTTTGTATTTCCTTTCTCTGTTTAAATTAGCATAGAAGCTCCCGTTTAGGCTTGATTTCCTGAAGGGCACTTTAATCATAGTCGTGGAGAGGGAACTCCATTTCTAATTCAACTGTCAACAATTTCATTCTCAGCCTAAATTCACCCTCATCCCCTTTTTTTGTTTTTCACTATCTTACATTAATTCCTGTGTGTTTTCTCTCCCTTCATTATTTACTATCATTGCTTAGTAATAGATGCATCCCTCTTTCACCGTGGTAACACTCGCTCTGTAATTATTTAGTTTCCTACTTTGCATTGTCTTTCTTTATCACGTCTTTTCCACCTTTCCATCGCAAAAATATTTGTTCCCCAGCCATCTCGTTTTAATTGGCTCTCTCTGGATTGAGATTCTTCTCTCTCTACTTTGAATCTGTTTATTATTTTTTGTGTTTCTTCCACAATGTTCCCTCTATTTCTCCCCGATTTCCTTTCCCACTCCCAAGTTTTCCTCATCAATTCCTCTCCCCAGACTCTATCAATTCAATTAAGACTCGGTGGGCTTCACTGCACAAGCCAATGTTGTCTTGATTTGCCTGCTGCTCTGCTCTCTGCTGTGTCCTGTTAGCCCGACGACGGCTGCGTCTCACACACACTCGTCGATGAGGGAGTGTGTGCTTGTCAGATAAAGATATAAAGTACACACACCACACACTGTGCCGGCACTGAGCAGCCGAGGGATATACACTGACCATGCTCTCACACACACACACATGCACCCACCGCCATATCTCTGCAGCTCAGAGCTTTAGTGAAGGATTGTGCTTGTCTTAGGCAAGGCAAGGCAAGGCAAGTTTATTTATATAGCACTTTTCAACACAAGGCAATTCAAAGTGCTTTACAAAAAATGAAAGACATTAAGAAAATGGCATCTAAAATCAGTCATTAAAAAGAAAAGCTAATAAAATAAACATTAAAAGAAAAAATACATGGATAAAATTTCAGTGCAGTCTAAGATATGAATAGTTCAATTAAACATTAAAAGAAAAAGTACATGGATAAAAGTTTCAGTGCAGTTTAAGATGTGAATAGTTCAATTAAAAGCAGCGACAAAAAGAAAAGTCTTCAGCCTGGATTTAAAAGTAGTCAGAGTTGCAGCGGACCTGCAGGTTTCTGGGAGATTGTTCCAGATATTTGGAGCATAATAACTGAACGCTGCTTTACCATGTTTAGTTCTGACTCTGGGGACAGAAAGCTGACCAGTCCCTAAGTCTTAGGACTTAATATATAAACCACTTTAGCCCCAATGTATAAAATAATAGCAAGGCACTCCTCTAGGGCCGTTTATAGAAGTGAAATGTATTGTGTGATTAGGATCAGGTCCAAAAGGGCTCTTCCTTGGCCAGTGCTACATCCTTCCACCAAGTTTAATGAAGGACCCTTATATATTTTCACTGGTAATTTTGGATTTAGAAAATATCAGTTTTTATCAATCACTGCCCCACCCTACCATGACTAAACTGTTATTATGTCAGAAGTTTAAATGTTTAATCCTCATCACCATTTCAATCAAAGTAATTAGCTTTAACTTGATTCCTTATTTTCTTAGCTTATTATTGCTGTTTCCTGAATTATCAGGGAATAAACAGATTTATAGGCTCATTGGCTCCCGCTTAATTCCAAATGAGAAGGCTGCGACTAGTCAGAAATGTGTTTCCTTAAATGCTCATAAGCCTAACTGTTTGATGTGTCAAAACAAATTCCAGTATAATCATAATGTTGCTGAGCATCCAGTGCAAATGTGCCCACACTGCCAGAATCCATGGGCATGAGTCACAATTATAAAGGACTTTGTTGAGGATATAAAATCACCCGTAGTCTTCCTTCGCATTAATGCTGATTTCATTAGTCCGTTGAAAAAGTTTTAAAACCATGCAGCCATGACGTTTGCATGTACAACGTAGGGCTGCACGATTTTGGGAAAAAATCTAATTGCGATTTTTCTGACAACTATTGCGATTGCGATTCGAATTGCGATATTTGTTTTTAAGCGACCCAACGGAAGTTTATTGTAAAATGCGGCCTTAACTCCGGCTAGGAAGGTCGTATCAACGTACTCCCGTCTCTAGCCCCCCCCCCAGCCTGAGCTACGAGTGAAAAAACTAAACTTACATGAAACTTCCGTTGGGTTGCTTTAAAGTCAAGCTTCAGTTTAAGATTCACCCTGTAATAGAAACATGTGATGGAGCATTACTAACCTGACCCAGATGGTTCACCAAAGCATCTAAAGCTCCATTGGAAGCCATTTGGAAAGGGCAGGCACTTTCAGAAGCACTTGGCAGGTGATTGGATCAATCTGTCGATCACCTTCTATCATGGGCCACTTCTGATTGATTAACAATGGCTGGTACATGTGGAGCACAGCACTTCTGATTGGTGTGGATGACTGACACACAAGAAAGAAAAAAAATTGTAAAAAAAAAGAAAGAATTGCATGAAATGGGATAAGAAAGTAAATGGCATGTATTTAAGAGCTGCTGGTATTAGTATAGTATAAAACTATTATAATGCCATCTGGCCCTTTTTTCCATCCTTAATAATTCAATGGATTCTTAGTTTATGCTGTATTCATCCCAACAGTCAATCGATTGGTTTCAAATGGATGATATGCAGTGCTGTTTTCCAGAAGAGAGCAGTGCTCAATTCGAACAGGAAGCCATTGAACAGTCTGTCAGGTGGAGGAACCTTGAAGGCGGAGCAGCTGATGCAGCTGAGTGGTGACAGCAGACAGGGATTTATGTGTTCTTCATACAAACGTTGTGCCGCATGGCATCATTTATCCTGCTCCTCTCTGCCGACGCACACCTGCAGGTCCTCGTCCCCTCATCGTCCTCCTGCTCACGTCCTCTAGTTGTGTTTTCTGCCAGATAATAACAGGGAGAAGTCCTCTCCTCTTGTTCTGAAGCGTATTATTATGAATGTGTTGCTTAAGGGCTTATTTCCTTAAACAAAGATAAACTCATGACTACAGGCTCCGTTAATCTGTGTATGTTTTTTTTATCTTATGCGAGGCGTTACGCAACATGTCAATGATATCTGATTGCACCTTCGCACCAGGTTGCAAATAGACAGCATGAGCCTTTTCTAAAAGTATCAGCAAAGCAGGAGAAAAACAAGACTGTTCAGGTTTCTCCAAAGATATATATAAATAATAATATATACTATACAACAGATGTTTTCCAATGAATCGCTAGCTCTATCAAATGTCCATCACAATGACCTAAAGCCAATGATCTCTCTAAAGGAATACTTTCTAGACATTGTTCTAAGAGTAAGATTGACACCACTTAAGATTGCCAGCGTATTTGAATTAAAATCACAAATCGAGATATCGTTCTGCTTTATATTCATATTATATATTATTTCTCGAAATCCGATCCAACTACTGTTTTAAACGTATTACTCAGTATTGTGTGCGTGTATTTAAACATGGTGGGTGTGTAGCTGGAATATTTTGTGTATCTGTTGGTTAAGTTGAATGCACTTAAGTTGTTATTTAATATTCATTGTATTGCGTTACATTTTCGGAGGCATTGACTAAAGTAGGCCTACCAATGCAGCTACTTCACAAAGACTTGTTTTGATTGAATTACCAAAAGAAAATTTACTCATTTGTTTCAGCTCAATTTATTTTAATAATAATTCTACAATGCTTTAGGTGTCATAATAATATATAATAAACCAGTCAACATATTAGGAGGCAATGTAGACTGTTAGGTCTGTTTGTCAGCAGAATTACAGAAAAAGGACTTGCTGTATTTCGGAGGGTGCAGCAAGGGCAAAAGAAGAACTCATTATTTTGTTTAGTGTATTGGAATCACGCGGCGGATACGCTCATTATTCTCCACTTATGGAAACAGCCTTGGCGGAGTTCTCTGCTCTCCCAGGGCCTCTCCAACTCTGCGCTCCTCTTCCTCTGTTTCCCTCCTCTTCATCGCTCGGCCTCATCTGCCGCAACATGAGCTTGTCAATACAAGGAGGACAAGTTGTATTTGTGTGTATGTTCTGTCTTTTCTCCTCTCCCTAACTTACTCTGCCACTTCCCTTTTGGAAGTACAGTCACGTCTCCACTCACCTCCACTCTGTGTCTCTCTCGCAGGTGGAGCCTCTCCTCTTGTTGCCTGTTGGGCTGCAGATGTCTATTACTCTTGTCTGTTCTCCTCTCCTCCCCTCGGTTCATCTGTCCATCCCTTTCTTTCTCTCTCTCTCTGCCCCTCTCTTAGTCATCCTGTCTGCCGTCTCTCCCTCTCCACTTTGACTCATCTCCTCCTCCACGGCTCCCTCCCACCTTTCCTCATTTCGATTACCCTTCCTTCATGTATCTCTAATCTTTCTATCGTTTCTCCTCCTCCTCTGAGTCTCTCGTTATCGCTCCTCTCTCCAGTCTCCTCCTCTCCTGACAGGTACCATTCTTCACTCTGCCCCTTGTTCTACTGGCCAGCACTATTGTGTGTGTGTGTGTGTGTGTGTGTGTGTGTGTGTGTGTGTGTGTGTGTGTGTGTGTGTGTGTGTGTGTGTGTGTGTGTGTGTGTGTGTGTGTGTGTGTGTGTGTGTGTGTGTGTGTGTGTGTGTGTGTGTGTGTGTGTGTGTGTGTG